TTTTTGTCGAATGATGGACGTGTGTTTATCCCAAGCATGTTTAAACTCATTTATTGGTAATTGACTCATTACCTCTCCCGGAAGTTGGTTCTTAGTTTCCACTACTTTTTCTATGAAGTAATACTTTCTAACATTACTTTTGAACCTCCCATCTGTTAGTTTGAGGTTAATGCGCCATGTTCTTGATCTTTACATAATATTGAAAATACTGCCTTCCAGAACCTTACTCACACCCTTAATATATTTAAAAGTTTCAATCATGTCCCCCATTTCCTTTCTGTCTTCCAAGCTGTAACTATTCCATTCCTCCAAAATCTCTCCTGATATGAGAGATATCAGAACCAGCAGGTTCTGACCAGTTCTGGAGAACCAGTAGCGGAAATTTTGAGTAGTTGGGAGAACTGGTAAATACCACCTCTGACTGGCCCCACCCCCATCTATTCTCTGATTGAGAGGAAATGGGGATTTTGTAGTATCCTTCCCCTGGAGTGGGTAGGGAATGTAAATTTTGCTGTAACTTTCCCCTGGAGTGGGGAGGGAATGGAGATGTTGCAGTATCCTTCCCCTGCTACGCCCATGAAGCCACACCCACCAAGCCATGTCATGCCCACCAAGCCACGCCCACAGAACCAGTAGTAAACATTTTTGAATCCCACCACTGACTGATACGTTTTGTCCCTCAGACCTTAGACCATTCTTGTTGCCAGTCTCTGGACTCCCTCGATCTTATCAATATCTTTTTCTAAGTGAGGTCTCCAGAGCTAGACACACTACTCCAAATGGGGTCTGACTGAAGCCCTATATAGCAGGATTATATAGCAGGATTTGGAAACCAAAATCTGCAGTACAACCCTGAGTTTCTATGTGGGGGAGCACCATTAATCACTTCCAAGGTTGGCAGTGTCCTCAGTTAAGGGCAGGCTCCTCCTTGAGTGATAAGGCATTTCTCAGCTCCCTCCCCCCTGGCATCCTGGCTCTGTTCAACGTCATCAGAAGCAGATGCCTAACAATATCCAAGCCACAGCTTAGCAGAGATACAGTGATTATAGAAAAACTGAGGCTGAAAACTACTTGCAGGAAATAAAATATCAAAATATATTGACTGTGTTCAAAGGGTGGAGAGAATTGCCTGACCATTACCTAGTAACCTCCAGTTATCTTGGGCTACACCTTTCATTATGATCCCATCTGTCTGGGGACAATGGAACATTTAGGAATCAGATAGGGGAAAGGTGTACTCATTTACAGACCGGGAGAAAACCATCTACTACTTCCTTTTACAGGAAGCTTCTCCCCGCCCCTTTAATTTCAGCTGAGAAGATTTCCCTGCATACTTTGAAAACAGAGGTGGGATTCACTTACCTTCCCTACCGGTTCGCAAATGTGAGCGTGCCTTCTGCGCATGCACATTGCTTGCACATTACTTCAGGGCAGAGCCTCCCGTAGCCGCTACTACCAGTTCGCCCAAACTGGAGAGAACCGGCTGAATACCACCTCTGTTTGAAAGACTTTTTTCTTGGGTTTAAGCTATCAATCCATTCATACCATAGGTCATTTGCTACCGGCATTACTACCGGTTCGGCGCGCAAAAAGTTTTGTGCCCGTGTGTGTGCATTTACACCTAAAAAGATCTGTGCATGTGCAGAATGTAAGAAAAGAGGGGGGGG